ATATATAAATAAAAAACCACCCTTGAAAATGAGTTCACTTTTATATATACACCAATGGTGATTGTGGTGTAATGAAAAAACCTTGTACACTTGACAATGTTTCTTATACTATAAGGCTGCTAAGCTTAACATTCAAAACGTTCCTAGATGTAGTCTGTATCAGGACAAATTCTGTGACATTCAGAGATGATCGGTGGAATCTGACGGTATTTTGCAGACTGTTGCAGAACAGAATCAGATGCCTTTGGATACAGCTTTGTCCTCTTCTCAGTTGAGTATGGTGGGATTAGTCAGTCTATAATCTGATTTTGTGTTTCTAAAGGAGGCATACTGAATCTTGTACCATTTGAACTAGGGGGTAGAGATTTTGGGAGGGTTCTGTATTCGCTATTAGGCTGAAGTTTTCCACAAATGTAATCTCCTGTCAGTTGATGGTATCTGGTGTGTGTGTGTGTGTGTCTATATCTATCTTGTGAGCAATCTTTGGGGCAATTTTTCATTTTATTATGCCCCTCTGATTCAATTGTTTAAGCTTTGCTGGCTTGCAGGAGCCTTAGAACTGCTCCCCCTTATTTTACAACATGGGACCTTTAGTAAAGCTACATTAAAAAAAAAAAAAAAAAAAAGCTTCTATATCAGATATGCTAACACTTGATTACAGTGGTGATAGGGGTACTGTTGCAAGATCTGAAAGCCCAGATTGGGGACAGATCATCCTGGAGAAGATCTATCTTTGTGGTTGCTAAAAGTTATCACTGACTTGGTGGCGCATAAACAGTATATCAGATGACAGTTTAATTACCGTATGGGATTAAGCTGTCTAATACGATATCCAAATATAGCAAAATTAAGATTATTCTTTATCTTAGCTATTGGAGTATGGAACAGGTTTTTTTAAAGGCATAAATGTTTATAATTTTTTTCAATTCTAGTACCTTGAGAAAAAGGATTGAAAAGTAGTCAGAGTAGACAAAAATGGCTGGATTAAGGGCACTAAGTACTACGTAAATTTAGATTAGGTGCAAACAATAATTACCTTTTTCAGAGATGGGGAAATAAAGTCAAATGTAACATTCCCGTGTCTGGTCTGTGCCAGATAAGTTTTGCAGAGCTCTTAGTGGAATGTAAAATGTTTTCTTGCCCAGAAAAAGTGTACTAAATGGATCAGCCATACAAACCTTTATAGCCTTTTTCTGATTATGTATTGTGAATATCAATTCTAAGAGATATGTAATCTGTATGAAGCTATACAAGTAAAATGCAGATTAGCTATTGCTTATGTGCTGGTTTATGACATTCATAGTGTTTTGTCTCTTTACTGAACCATTAAGAATCACATGGTAAAAGCACAGAAATTTGTATTGAGCAAAAAGCAAAGAATTCAGCATGCTAAGAACCGAAATTTTTCTAGTCTCTAATGTGTTTCTGAAGGGAGCTTTCCCAAAGGTTGTAGCACTTATTTGCTTTAGAGTAGAACAGAGTGGATGGTAGATCAGAATCTACCAGTAGATCTCCCTATGGCTTGCAGTAGGCAACTCTGACTTCTAACCATGTAACAGTAAAAAAAAAAGCCATTTTACATTTATATTGCTTATAAGAAAACATGGAGAAATTAAGAATCCTAGATGTTTTTTTGTTTAGAGGGAATGTGACCTTTTGTATGAAACAAGCTAATGCGTGTATCCTTTACACAAGTTCTGGCTTGTTGATCGTAAGATTCTGGATTTTTTTAAAGGTAGGAGTTCGTTAAAATAGAAGTACCTGTCCTTATCTGGGAGAAGCATGTCATTCTGGGAAATAATACAGAAAAGTTCAGCTTTCCTTGGTACAAAATTATTTTTTCTTGGGCATCATTACAGATGGACCTGACACAGAGATGCCTGGAAGAATGAACTACTTCCTATTGCTGCTGCTGGCGATCTTGATTTTCATTGCTACACTTGATTATTCAAGCTTCCTCCAGCAGCAATAATGCTGTATTGTTGAATGGAGAAAACAAGCACATCTGCCAGCTGTATTGGAGGCCAAAAGGGGGAAGGGAGGAGAGGAGAAACATAGCCAAGCCTTTTGCTTTACCAGTCTCTGCCAGACACCAGCATGAAAGAAGAGCTGTTTTTCAGTTAATTATTGCAGTGAATATGGATGATGAAGACAGGCCAAGTTAATGTATACAAACTCTCTTGCTAGCACCCTTAGTTGCAGCTGCCTAGCATCACTAAATGGGCAGAATGAACTTGGGATAAAAAAACCTGACTTTTTGTTATGAACAAGCTGCTTGACTTCCAAGTTAACACTCAGTTGGGTGTTACTGTCTATTTAATTGTGTTCCATTAGAGGTAGTTGAGTCTACTAAATAATAGCTTCAGTTTTGAAAATAGTACTAGCCCACTTATGAGAGGATTGTCTTTTCTTGTCTCAATATGTTTAATCCAGGTGCTCTGTTTAGGCCAGTGTTTCTCAACCGTGGCAACTTTAAGATATGTGAAATTCAACTCCCAGAATTCCCATGGCTGGCTGGGGAATTCTGGGAGTTGAAGTTCACACATCTTAAAGTTGCCAAGGTTGAGAAACACTAGTTTAGGCAGTGAAGTATGTGCAACTTGTTTTAGCACAGATGTGTGTGAACTGGTTTGGGAGGCTGTCGGAGAGAAAATGGCCATAAAATGATACCACTTTCATCTGAGATTCTGCTTGTTTTCTATACAGTTTAGAAAATATACCATGACTTTGCAAGTGTCTTCTTAAAATGTCTTTAAAAACATTTCTAGTTCTTGGTGAAAGCAACATTGTTTTTCACATGGAACTCAGTTATGAAATAAGCGATGTTGTATACTCTTGTATTTCAGCTAGTCTTGTGGCCTATTGGGAAAATGGGAATTATGTTTTTTACAGAACGTCAGTACAGCCAAAAATGTGTGTGTCTGCACCAATACAAGGAGCTGTTGTAGCCAGCTCCACCTGTGTAGTTATTAGATGGAGTCTTAAATAGGTTGAGACAGGTGTGGTATGGGAGGGACAGTATTAATAGGTATTGTATCTTCGCTGCCAGATTGAGATTTCACCTTAAACCAGTACAAGGCTATAATTAAAATATGATAATCAAAAGCATGAGACGAATGCAGCATAGGACACATAGCATGAACATTGCTTGCTCACAGCATATATGTGGGTGGCACCATTGCATAAATATTAAAATGATATATTGCAAGGTTGAACCCAGCAACCTTAACGTTCTTCTTCTGGAAAGTATGAAACCAAACACTTCTTTTTCGAGATCTTGCTGCTCTGTTATTTGTTGAAGAATGCCTACTGGTCTAATCACATACTTCTGGCGATCTGGACCTTTTGCCAGTAGAAAAATTGATTGTGCCTACTGTCTCCTGCGGGATCCTCTTTTGTTCGATAGTGGCTAACCACAAGTATGTTGTGCTCTTGCGTGCCGTCTGAATCCTGCTGGGGCTTGTGGTTCTCACCTTGTGCTCTTTCTCTTCCAGGAGTATCTTACCTTTGAGTAACTGCCCCCAGGTACCGTGCTGCAGGCACATTGTTCCAGGGCCTCTGTGGTGCTCCTGATGCCCCTCACCCACTGTCGAAGATCCCCGGTGGGCGAGGGGTTGGCAGGGATCCTTCTCTCTCAGCTTTGATATATAAGGTGAGCCTAATTCCACATCTTCTGGACTTCGCTATGAGACAACAGGCTTTTGCTTCATGAGAAGAATCTCCAAGAATGCCGTGAATATTTTTCATTTCTGTGCTCCCAGTTCATAGCGCTGTATAAATCAAGCATGCTGCTTCTGGAAGCTCATTATTTTTGGTCTGGTTTCCTTGGTGATCTTTTTAAATAAGTGACTTCTGGTACTTTTTCTAACACCTGTTAGTGTTAATTGCTTTGCTTCATTTTTTTAAAATAATCCAGCATATGAGAAAATATAACCAAAGGACGCTCTGTGCCAGGTCAGTTGGGATAGATTCCGAGTTCATGTAATGAAGAAAACAACTATGGGTTCCAGTTCTCCCTCCGGGGTGATCTTCAGTAATCATCCAACTGCTCTTCTCCCTGGAGCTCTGTTTCCATAACACTTACAAAGTTAATAACTGAATCATAGGTTAAGTTCCTGAATATCTTATAGCCAGGAAGCAAAAATAATAAGACAAATGGATAATCTTCCACTGATGAAATGGCTGGACAGCGTAGAAGTACCTAGGGATACCTTTACAGGTATTGTCTTGGAGGTGTTTCCTCCTGTGCTAGAGAGGAGGAGAAAGGTCTCTTCTGTTCCTGGAGCATTACTGAGATATTATAAATACAAGATTTAGATACCCTGTTAGAATGAACATTACTGTGAGGCTTAGAGTTGAATTGCATTCTGGATTGATTGGTAAGAACCAAAATATGTAAAGGCCAAGTTTTTTTCTTTTTCTAAAGCTGCTTTACAGTTGGTTTCTAGTTCCTGTCTTGCATAAAGTATAAAATAGAGCAGCTATCAAGTGACTCTGCTGGTAAAGAGAAAGAAAGAGAATATCTCTGCAATTTGTGAATGCCGATTTGTCCAAAACCATTTCTGTTAGTTGTTGGTATAATTGTTTTTTAAGATGTGTGAATTCTGTTAGAAGCTGATAATTTGTTTGAATGAATTGGGGTACATAGGGGAGATTGCTCAGGAGGCAAGACTGATTTGTTAAATGTACTCAGTTGGTAATTGAGTACAGTCTGAGTTAAAGCATTATGATTGTTCTTTCAGAAGCAGAAGCACTGGCTGGTGTCAGTTCCCATAGCAATGAGGAATCAAAGAACTTACTGCTCTTTATTTGCTGTTCCTGTGGTTCTAATACTTGAAAAATGTTTTTTTCTTTCTTAAAAAGGATGAGAAGCTCACTGTTAACCAAGATCTTCCAGTGCATGATGGGAAACCACATATTGTCCACTTCCAGTACAAAGTTACGGAAGTAAAGATCTCCTCCTGGGATGCAGTGCTATCCAATCAGAGTCTTTTTGTGGAAATCCCTGATGGCTTATTAGCTGATGGGAGCAAAGAAGGGTAAGTAAGACGTGAGCAACAGTTGGCTTTTTTCTTCAAATTTCTATTGGATGAGAATGCTGGGTCAATTACTGTCATTGTATTGGTTAGCATTTTAATATACATAGGTGAGAAGAATGGTAGCTGTGAAAAAGTAATAAAGGGCACCTCAAAACTTAAGTATACTTGTCCCACTTTAGAATGTCTCCAACAGGTTTTCCAAATCACAAATGGTGTTAACTTCCATTTGCTGGAAAAATAAAAAAAAATTAATTTATTATTATCAATGTGGAGCCTGCAAACTTTATTTCAGAAGGGTTCTGCAAGTTATCCATGTGGACCTTTGGCATTTTTTCTGGCAGCCTGCTTGTCAGGGAGGGGAGAAAAAAGGGGTGATAGCAGGAGGAGAAGGACAGAGCATGCAACTGTCCCAAGGAACATAGTCATCAGTAGGGAAAGATTGTCCACTCCTGACTTCTCCTACAAGTGGTACAGAGATCTCTCTCCTTCTTTAAGGTCCTAGTATTTTGAACATGGGGGAAGCCATTGTGCTGCCAATGCATAACTGATTTGCTGTCAAAAGAAGCTCACGCTGTACATTTTACCTTTGGACTAAACTGGCCTGGGTGTTTCATTTATAAAAATGCTTCAGCTAGCTTATTCTTTCCTTTTACCATCATTCTTTGATGACTGCATTTCCCCTGTCAGCATGGTTTAAGTACAATTGCATAACTGATTAATTATAGCTAGCTAAAATAAGCAGCTTGGAAGTTATAATTAAAATGGAGGTTAACAAAATCCCTTCTAAGTTAAACTCCGCTGCTGCTTTCCACCTCTGATTAAAACCTTGTTTATGTGCTACTCACTTGATCAGTAGCAAGGTACCCTTGACCAAGCAGAAAAGCAGTTTGTCCTGTGTCAGGTAGTTTTTATAGGTCTATTAAATGGATAACCTGAAAACTGCCTGTAATGTGACCCTGTTCACTAACGTATGCAATACAGAGGATTGTTGTAGCTATGTATTTGTTCAACACTACCTGCAAAAATGATGCAGATTATGTGGGCAATAGGTCCCTTTGCATCCTCCAAGGTTATGGACTATACATCTCATAGCCCACTGCCTCTGTGTTGGATGTAGCTTGTAGAAATTAAAACAACTGCAGAGCACCACCCTGCCTCTCACTGAGATACACATCCCATAGGAAGACTTTTGTGGTAACACTGTCTTTTGGTGTTCAAATGCAATTAGTTGATTAACTTTTCCAAACTTTACATCTGAACCTCAGCACTTGAATGTCCCCATTTCCTCTTCAGAGTTCTGTTTTACACAGCTGTACTTTGTGTGTTGTCTCCTGCCGTGCAAATACCCACTAAGCAATCATGCTTGGTTAGTATCTTGACCGACTTTCCCTTCCCACGTACTGTGCAGCCTATTTTCCTTGGCACACCTCTTTGATTATCTGTGCCGAAACCGGAGGAATGATTGCAGGCACAGGCCATCTGAGATGAACATGAATGCAATTAATGTAAAGAATTACTTAGGGATGTGCTGAGTATAACCTGCTGTTTTCTCCCATCCTGTCAGATTATTAGCGCTGTTAGAATTTGCTGAAGAGAAAATGAAAGCAAGTTATGTCTTTATTTGCTTTCGAAAAAGCAGAGAAGACAGAGGTGAGTGCTTTCAATCCCTCATTCTCCTCTCTGCAAACAAACTGCTAAGTGCCCAAAGAGGGTCTCACTTAGAGCATCTTGTGGGGGTGGCTTTTCTCCTTCCAGTTGAGTATAATGATTTTTAAGTATCTATTGCTAGCATAATTTTCTGTCTCCCTAAACCTCTGTGATACAAAGTAGGGCTACCAGATTGGCGTGTCTGCTGAATGGCAATCAAGAGTTAGGTAGTATACAGCTCTCCTGACATGGCTATGCCTGATTTTGACCATTTGCAGCCCTCATCACCATCACACCAAACTTGCCTTTGTTCATAATATGACTTTGATTGTTTGATTGAACAGCTTATATTAGGGCCAGTAACTACCCAATCATCTTGCAACACAGGAAGGAAAAATTGGAAGGGCTACAGAAAAGTTATACAAAGAAAGGATAGCACTGGATTCAGAAATCTTAACAGAATGGAACAGTTGAGTTGTGCCATATATAAAGAGAAATTCAAGGCATTTGCTTTAGATGTAAACAAATCTATGCATTGATCTGATATTGTACATTTTCTTCTTTACAGCTCCGTTACTGAAGACATTCAGTTTTTTGGGTTTTGAAATTGTGAGGCCTGGTCATCCTTGTGTCCCATCAAGGCCAGATGTGTTGTTCATGGTATACCCCCTGGATCAGGTCTCTTCTGATGATGATTAGACCTAGTGCAGCATTTCAGTGGGGCCTGGACATGCTTCAAGGACGAGAGGGGGCTAAAACGCCTCTTCTGAGGAAAGGGAAAACAAAATTCTTCTGGACTGAAACTGCATTTCTTATTGTTAGAGTGACCTGTATATCTTCTGAGTTGACTTTTCCATTGAAATGTGTTACCTAGCGAATAATATAAAGTCTGCACATGTAATTGCACAATAGTAAATGGAAGGTAAATGGAGCTCTGTGGCCCGCTTTAAGCCTAGTGGAGACATCCTGTCCAGCCACTTGGTGGCTGTGGAGCCCACAGATGAAGAGAGGGAAAAGCCTCAATTACTTGTTACATTCATGTTGGGCTATCTATTAATTTGGTTATTTGGCTTTCATTTTAAATGCATATTTATATGTTCACTCAGACTCTTAAGCAGGGGAATGTTTTGAGTGTGGAAATATGAGGAACATTAGCATTTTTTGGCAAACAGATGATGGTACCACTGGGTAATCAATACTCTGGGGTTCTGAGAAACTGTCCTCTTTCTGGCTTTTTTATTAGGCTAGTATTAACTCTGCATTAGTGCAACTTCATTTAAAAGAGGGGAGCGAAACAAACGTGTGAATCTGGCCTTGCTTCTGAGAGAACCTGAACTGCATCACCGTCCCTCTCAAAAGGATCAGGGCAGCCTTGTGTCCAACACAGTATCGTATGGCAAAATGGGGACAGGGCCAGTCAAATCAAGCCTTCCTTTCCTTTAGGAGGAAATGTCAAGTCCACACCTCTGTTACTTACAAAGTCTATGGATTACAGGATCTTTATAGGCAACTTAATTTAACAATTAGTCTTCAATCTATGCATTCTCAAAATGCACTGGAAACTTTCCCTAAAAGTAATTCACATGATTGGAATTTCATGCCCTCCTCCCTTCAAACGCCTCCTCTGGCTATTAGATTACTGCTATCCTGCTCACCTTTAACAGCCAGTTCCTTCAAACTTCATTCACAATACTAAAACTCTTCTTGTCTATTTACTGATGTTATTCAAAGCACTTTTCACTTCGAGGCATTAATTTTAATCTTCTGCCTCATCAGTGCAAAATACAAGCTGCCTGACTATCACAGAAGGGAAACCCTACATAGCCTATGGGGGCATGATAAGCTTCCTCTTTGGTCAGATAGTTGCAATTTCTGCTTAGCTTCCAGTTACAGATTGTGGGTATCTTGATTTGTCTCGCTAAGCTTTAGGACAAAAATGAGCAGTTATTTTTTAGCCTTACCATTAAGGGTCTGTTGATTGGAGGAGGGGACTATCTAATTCCAGACTCTTGGCAGGTTTTTGGGGAAAAAAGCAACATAGGACTGATGCCATGGAGATAAAATAAAACTATCTGTGTCCTCTCACAATTTTCACTTGTAAAATGTTAGATCTCACAACTGTAGGCTTGAATATTAGCCATACGCTGAAAATTTATTGGGCTGACAACTGGCACTATTAATATTGGAAGGGAAGATCCAACTTCTTACATAGGTTTATGATTTAGGGTTACCTGGCTGTTTGATAAGCAATTTCATCTGCACTGTCTAGTTAATGGAAAACTTGTGACATGAGAGAATCAGCATCTCCTTTACCAAAGAGCTGTATGCCACTTGGACAGACTACCACTAGGTAAAACTGGGTTCTACATTCACCATACTTTTTATAATCTAGGCGGATATGGCTACTTAAATTTCTTAAACTGTATTTAGACAATTTTCAAATGTGTTACCCCTGCAAGTTAGGACATCTAAAATGGAGCCTAACCATTTGAAATGAGTTCTGCTTGCTTTATTGGGTGTGCTTTGTCTTTGGTTGCTTTGAATGATACATAAAACCAACAATATGACTACTGTTTGTGGAAACAAGCATAGGCCAGCTAGATCCTGAATTACATTGGCCTCTTAATTTTAAAATGTATGTGCTTATCAATTTTCAGAGTTCTACCCAATATAAAAGAATTGTGGCCTTTTTAATTTAAGCTTGATAATGTTTCCATTTTCTTTTGCTCCAATGCATTATAAGAAGTGCTTTCAGCAAGTAGATTCTGTTGTCCAACTCATCTTTGAGTTAGATCTATAGGGACAAAACCACACATGAGGACATTTCTACTGAACCCAGGAAATATCAGTCCAATGAAATTCAGAGTCTTTGACCAAGGACTATTCAAAATGCAATTTTTGAGGAAAAGGGGGAAATTTAACTTCCTCTCCTCAGTGAAGCTGTTTGCCCCAAGTATACTTAATTACAAGTAAGCTTACCCTATCTAGGAAGGTTCATATTTGGCAGAGAATAAAAATATTCACTAGTACTACCAAATTCTCTTCCCCTCATTTGTTATTTATCTCATCCTGTGGAGAAACAAGAAACCTCATTTAGACAGACTTTTGCTAAATTTAAATTTTAGCCATAATGATACCCAATTTGCAGAATAGGGTTGATACTCATGAATATTCTTAGCTTGTTATGGCTTCCTTGAAGTTGGTATTAGATGGGTCAATAAAATATCCTATAGTGCCTTGGTCCAAAAGCCTTTTTTGGGAGGGTTCGGGAGACAGACATGCCCTATTAACCTAGCACAGGTTTCTTTACTTTTTTGCTCTTTGCTTATGACCTATGTTAAAAGCCATGCAACAACTGAAGTCTTTACATTAAAGACGGAAGAAATGTCACCTATTATTCAGTTGTCAGGCACATCCTCAGACTGCCTTATTACCCAAAGAGCTGAAATCAAGACCCATCATTCCTATCGTGCAGTCCTATTTATCTGTAGAACATCACTGGAAAGGGCCAAACATTAAATTATTTGCTTTGTGAGATGTAAACATTTGAGGTGGTAGTGTGAAACATTTTTCCACCATTTCCACCCCTGCTCTTTACATTGGCTTATGGTTTCCTCTTGACTATATCTTTGGTTTCAACTCTTCACTCAGGAAGTTTTGCAAAGCGGAAAAATACAACCTAGTGAACAGTAGACTATGAAGAACTGTCTGCTTACTAGACTGATCTAGCTACTCAGGCCAGAATGCTTGACCTCTCTGTATCCTGCACAACTGCAGAAGCAGCTTTGAACCTGAAAGCACATTTCTAGCCCTTATCACAAGTTTGGGGGGTGGACTAATGTTATTTAAATAATTTTTTACACAAATATGACTATCTGTATTTTTTAAAAAAACAACAGCAATACACTAACACCAATACAAACAAAAGGCCGAGGCTTTGCATGCACCCAACAGGGCAAGGATCCTGCTGCTGAGGTAGGGCATTTCTTATACAAATACCTTACCTAGTAAGGTCAGGAGCATAAAGAAAGTTGGGCATGGAAGAGAAGTCAAGCTATTCCTTATCCCATTTACAAGAGCTTGCTACAAAGTGGTGCTTCTGTAAAGGCTCCCCTTTAACTCAAAGTAGATAGCACTGAGGTTTACTCACTGATGCTGCACCTCTTTCCTTGTCACAGATACAGGAGCTGCACAGCTCACATTTTGGCAGTCATATTTTGCGCCTACTTGAGCAATGCATTAACAAAGCCAAGAGAACTGATACTTCATGTCAGATTTTGAACAGTAAACCTAATAGTGAACGTTCTTACAGGACGATATGCTGGTAAGAAAAGGCTGCAACCTCAAAGAAATGTTCTTGCCTTCAAGGTCATCCTGTGATGACCTCTGATCCCCAAACCCAAGTTTGGGTGAGAGAGGTCACAGGACACTAAAGGCAACTCTTGGAAGCCCTCCCTGGAGAAGATCTTGAATGGCAAGTGCCAGAAAGGCGGAGAGGATGCTGCAATTGCTTCCTGAGCCAAAGATCACGGTGTGCTTTAAGACAGTGGGAGCTGCTGTCGAATGAGACTGTGCCAGGAATAAGCAGTCTCTTCTGCCTGCTGCCCGCACCCCCGCCCCCAGCTACTTTTATGAAGCTGCGAGATCTCAAACTGGGAAAGAAAAAAAACCCGACAAATTTCAAACAATTCCTTTTTACAGTATATACAAAGTCCAAGAGGCAGAGAGTGGCCTCGCGCAACATACAGACAGGAACAGAAAGACAGAGCTGGGAACTTGCACTGCTGGGACAGACATACAGCACTCATTCCTTATGAGTCAGCTAGGCAGGGCAAGACCTTGCCCCTTACCATTCCAACCGACAGGTCTGCAGGAAACACGGGCAGAGTTCCAGTCAGAAGTGTCTGTCGAAAACAATGGCAAGGGATGGGGAATGAGAAAGCCGGGCAGCGATCCTGCAATACGCAGAAACAGCCTCTGCTCTGCACAGAAACTAGCAATGTCACCAGCCTGTGGGGCGTTTAGCAGGAGGGAATTGCTTCTCGACCGCTTACCCTCGTAGAAGCCGTAACTGCAGCAGGGTTTGACAGGCAGACAGCCTGTTGCTAGACATACCCTCCTTGCCTCAGCAAGGTCAAACTTGCCTATATTCAAAACCGCAGGGCCTGGGCAGACCTCGCTGCGTTCCATGCAGGGAAGGGATGATTTTGCAGGCATGGGAAATGCCTGAAAATCAAGCAGCCCTGCCAACACAACCTCACTAAGGAAGCAAGGCTTTCTTCCTTTAGGTAAAGGGCTGGGGAAGACGGGTGACACCCTTCAAGCAGAGAGGAGCAACCTGACTGCTGAGCCGCAGCGGAGACCGGACGGAAGCAGGGCCAGCCTGCCCAAAGGCCATATTGTAGGCAGCACTGAGAGGCTGTTTGTGCTGTGGAGCAAAGCAGCTTCTGCTGCTGCAACACACAAGTCCTGCCAGCAGGGAGAGGGGTTAGAAAAACAGCTGGTGGGAGGGCCTTTTAGGGGAGCAGCAGGCCCGAGGCAAAGTGCTACAGAGAAGGTCAGTAACTGTTCCCGACAGAGAAACTTACAGCTGACTCGGGCTCACAGCAGGCCGTGTGGCCTCCGTGCTTCCCCCACAGTTTCCCAGGCCGGCGTGTAAGGCAGGAGAGCCGCCTCTTTCCGGTGCTCTTTGCGAGAGTCCACCTACCTGCTTGTGCCAGGTGACTACTTCTCACCAGTGAAAAATTAAAAAAGAACCCCAAACCCACAATCTGGATGTTCTCTTCACCCAACTCTGGAGTAGCTTCCTTGGCTGCAGCCCAGGAACAAGGGAGCTGTGAGTGGAACTCAGAACTAGCGTGCTCCTCCTCCCCATCATTTTTCCAAAGGTCCTGTGATGTCACTGCTTGGCCCACCATCACCGTCCTCTTTCCCAGAAGAGTTCTGGAAAACAGCCAGTCACCCCAAGTCAGATGAATAAATATTTCGGCAAGTCCCAGCTCCATAACTCACTCATACGGGGCTCAGCATGTGTTCAATGGGGGAGGGGCAGAGTCTGCATCACACTGTGGCAGGACCATCAAGCAGAACAATCAACACCATTCAACTGATGTCTAATGCAGTTTCCAGCGGTTCCTCATGTGAGCCAGTCACATGTCTTGGTACAGCCCAGGTTACCTTATCAGTCATGTCCTATTGGAAAGAGAAGAGGAAGGTCAGCAAACTCAATCTCAGCCGCATGGTGGGGCTAGAGTTTCAGCAGCTCAGGAGGAGGAACTGGAGATCTTGCCCTCCCCAACTGGAGAAACAGGTGGATTCAGAACTAGGAAGTAGGCAGTTCCGTGGTAGAGAACATAAAATACTACAAACAACACTGATCTTACAGTCATTTCCCAATTTCTAATTTTCATTAGAACTAACAGGAGGAAAGCTGGTCATAACTGGAAGCCAGAAGTGATGGTAAAGACATCTGGGATATAATAATGTGGGAATGAACATAATTCCATGGAACAGCAGGTAGCTATCACCTGTACCACATATGGGCTCTTTACTTAGGTCTTCACCACAAGAAAGTAAGCAGCTTCCATAAGCCACTTTATATTGCCAGTCCCCTCCAGTTTATTTGGTTACAAGCAAACAAACTTTATAGTTGGGCCTCTTCCTAGGATCTGAACTGTTGTTCTGCTGAAGCCAGTAATGAAAGCATCTACTGGAACCACCACCCTTCATTCCTCCCCACAGCCACCGAGGCAGATGTGTTGGGACCTCCTTACCATTTTCACCTTCGGGGCGGGGGATACAGGGAAGGAGCAGAACCTTGCTGACTGGCAACAATGGCTGTAGATGAAAGACCTGCAGGGGAGCAACATCACAATATACAATGGAACATAAGTGTTTAGGAGGCAGAGATGATAAGGCAGTCTTCAACACAGTACAAGGCTCAAATTCATATTGGAGGCATTTCACAGTGGCTGGAGAGAAGCTTCAAAAGTTGGGCAAGGAGGTAATATCTGTGAAAATCTGACAGGAAGTCAGGAAGTCAGCAAGTTGCAAGGGCTGTTGGGTTTTGCCAGAATTTCAGATCATAACTCCCAGCAGTTCCTGGATTGGGAGGCTCTACTCTCACTTACTCATGTCCTGGTCATCTCCCAAATGGATTGCTGTAATGTGTTCTACATGGGGCTGTCCGTGAAGAGCATCCGGAAGCTTCAGCTGGTGCAAAATGCAGCTGCACTGGCAGTTACGTGTGCTTGTTCAGTGCACGTTACACTTCTGCTCTGCAAGCTGCACTGGCTGCCAGTCTGCTGGGTTCAATTCAAGGGCCTGGTAATAATCTATAAAGCCCTACATGGGATGGGGCTGGATTACTGGGGGGACCGCCTCTTCCCATGTCAGACCTTTGACATAATCCAGACAAGTGCTAACAACACTACCTTTATTATATCGTTACAGTAACAGAATTTTGCAAGTCTGAAAGCACATCTCTCTTCCTTTGCCTTTACTTTCAAGTGAACTATGGGGGGGTCCCTTCTGAGGTGCTTTCCACACCCCCATTCCTACTGTAGCCCAAGATGTCTCTTATCTGACTGTTGCCCTGGCTGCAGCAATTCCTCCTCTCTAATGGTATGTGGGAATGACCTTGGGAAACAGAGCAAAGAGATGCAGCCAAGGGAATGGTCAAATAAAAGGCAGCTGAGCCTGCAGCAGGAATGTAGGCAGGGCAAAAGGCTCAGAAGAGACCCTCCCTAGTTTCTTGGGCTGTAAACAGGACGGGGAAGAGATATACTTCCAGGCTTGCAAGATTCTGTTAATGTAACCTTACAATAAAGTAGGATTAGCTAATCTGGCCATGTTTCCTGTCTGGTCTACCTTGCAAGGCTGACATCCTCCTGTCTCTCAAGGATATTTCCACAGACCCTGGTTACATCTACCTGTCCCATCAGGTCTGGCAGAAAGGGCATATTACGGGTCCCGTCAGATTAATCACCTGATGGGACCCAGGAGGACAGCCCTTTTCTTCTGTAGCCCCCGCCCTTTGAAACATCATCCCCCTGGAGGTTCAGTTGGCCCCAACCCTGCTTGCCTTTTAAAAGGCTCTAGACATGGCTGCGTCAATGGGCCTGGGGATCTGCTTATGGTTTAGAGTCTGCTAGATGGTTATATTGATTGATCCATGACCTGTACTTGCCTGCTTTTTGGTTTTAATTATTTTTTTATTTGCTTTTAAGGGTTTTGTTTATTGGTTGTGTTATTTGGTTGTTTTTCACTATGTGAGCCATCCAGAGTCACCAATGTCAGGCGGGTGGCTATACAGATGGAATAAATAAATAAATAAAAATACTGTCTTTGAATTTGGAACCCTGACCCGCTCTCCCAAATAACACCCCTCTACAGAAATACCCCATCTATTCTCACCTGTTGCATAGGGCAGGTTATACTGGGCTGGGAGCAACGAGTAGCCCAAGTGGTGATGATGGTGATGCGTAGACATCAAACGCTGTGAAGGAGAGGAGCGGGGCCGGTCAACACTTCTCTCAGCACCACTGGCTCCCCCTACACCACTGCAGCCTGTGTTGCTTCCTCCTACCCCACAGCCACCGCGCTCCTGAGAGGCCTTCTCACTTATCTGTAAAGTAACCAGAGAAACAGACATGTTGAAGCCCAAGTGTGACTCGGCAAGGAATGGCAGGCTGTCCCGGCCAGATTTTGTGTTGTTGCCTTGCAGCTGTTGATTGGATTTCTCCAGTCACTGCAAACACTCTTTCACATTAGGCGGCATAAATGCTCCAATCATGAGACACTGAGTAGCTTACAGTCCTAGTACAACAGGTTAAAATACAACAGGATCCAAAAGAGGAGAGCCACAGGTTCCAGGCCCAGCGCTGAGAACTGGTTAGTGCAGAACCATGAATAGGACTCACCGTTGGGGATTTGCTCTTGTAGTGGCTGGCGTGCTGCTGCAAGATGTCTAGGGCCTTGGATTCGGAGCTGGATTTGCAGCCGATAATAGGACTAGCTCGAGATTTTTCACTCTCCTCGCTTCCAGAGGATTTGCTGCCGTATGGGGAGAACGAGTAGCTGGAGGGAAGGTAAGAGCCTGTGGGAGAGATGCCAGTCAGCATTTCTACCCTCAGTTTATCAGAAGAGCCAGCCGTTCAAAGAAACCAACTGACATCATACATCTTCTACAGGGAAAAGATGAGAAAAGGGAAGGGACTGACTCAGAGACTTGGCAGTAGGAGACGTTTAGGACTAGATCTAGCAGAAGGTGTCATTCCACCCAGACATCTTGTTTTATATTCCTAGATCATCATCAGCTGCTAAGACAAACGTATCAACTTCAAGTGCCTGGAAGATGAGGTTGTTTTTTTTAATCTATCCCTAGTACAGGACTATGTGCTTTGGGAACACCTAAAATGTACACACAGAACACAACAAAACTATCTATTCCTTCTAGTCTCTTTAAATCTCAATTTAAATTTACAGTTGTTAAACTCACCTTTGATGATAACATTGTAAAATTTTGATAAGTCTGTTTCTTTTATTAATATGCTAGAACATTTGTTTTTCACTATTTAAAATGAAAGGATAACCTTAAAGGAAACCTTTGAAATAACACTTGTGTACTCATCCAACAGCAGTAACTTCTTCAAAATGTAAGACATCAAGAATGAACAGGACTACATACACATTATTACAGAGGTTCTCCCCTGGAAAAGCCACACAAATTGCCAGCCTACCCCCATTATTCTGAAAGTAAGGCATTTTGGATACAGTGGAACTAACTTCTATATTAGACTCCCGATGGACTTGCTGATCAAATCCATAAGCCAGTGTTTCTCAAAGTGTCATCTGAGGACCACTGGGGGGTCCCCCAAGACCTCTCAGGGGTCCATGAAATCCAAACTATTTGCCAGCCTATGTTGAAAAATAATACAGTATTAAAAACCCATCCAACAATTGTGAGAAACTTTAATGGCAGTGAATGTGTTCATTTTCATTTTTAATATGGTAAATATCGATAAATATAACCCATACAAACGAAAGTCCTCTTGGGGTCCTCCATGATTTTTAAAAGTGGGAAGGGGTCCTGAGAGAAAAATGTTTAAGAAACACTGCCATGAGCAACATAAAGGGAATTCCTTATTCTCTGCATCCTGACGTTGTTAGATACCCAACTATATCAGTCTGAGCAAAATTCCCACAATGTCCATTTTATTCTGAGGATGAAAATCGGCAGCTCTTCCCTCAGAAGCACATCAGAGCCTTCCCTCTTTATGAATGACAGAAATCACCTGTACTTCCAGGGTTCCCTTTCAAACCCCCATACCTGGGTAGTTCTGCATCATGACTGTTGGCATGGCACGATAACTGGGATGGTTGGGGTCATACGACTGACTGTAGGAGTAGCCATGCATGTATGGGATGTAGGACTGATGCTGGCTGAGGGGGGAGGACACGGGTACATGCGTGCCAGATCTGGCTTCTTTTCCCACTAAGCGTGAGTCCTCGCTGGAGGGCATTTTGCAATCAGAGTTGGTGCTCTCTTTCCCATCTTCCTTCACAATGGATTCTTTACCACGACTCCTCTCCTCCTTTAACTTTCGCTCCCTCTCTTCCTTCCACCGCTCATCCTCTGTTTTGATGTCAGGATATTTAGCAGGGTAAACATACGTCCACATGCGGGGCTCGGCTTCCTGCAGCAACGTAGAGTTGAGTCAGTCAGGTGATTAGCAATTCCACAGCCAGAGGTCACCATATTTGAAGCTGTGGGAACCTCAAGTGGAGTATTTAAAAACAAGAGTTCCTGGAAGCAATTATATACTCACATGGATTCCTCCAACCCTACAAAAGCTTTTGCCTCTGGGTCTTTCAGCCTTTTTATCTCCCATTCAAATCCCTCTCCAGAGCACCGCATAAAATTCACCAAAAATCTTAAATTCTAGTTACACTAACAAGCAGAAGTAATTGTTCATTATTTATTCTTCATTTCTATTGAATAATATTACTTAATTTATTACCACAGGCCTACTTTATTAAGACTGAGCAGCAACCTAAGCAGATCTCTTTCACAGTGAGATAGCCCAGCTTTCAAAGTAATGATCAAAATAAGAAAAAGGCTACCCAACTCTTATGCCTCACTACTCTCCCGCTGTGTGCATCCCAAAATGATAGCTCCCCTTCAGCTATTCTTGCAGAGGAGCCGCAGGGCAATTCATTTAGAGCTGGCAATGGCACCCCTAATTCATGTGTTTTTGTCACACAACTCCTTAGTACTTGGCTTGGGTATAAATAAGAGACAGATGCTCCCAAAGGCCTGAGAACACCAAGAGGGGATAGAAATAGGAGGAGAGGTGCAATTTCATTTGGGGTATCCCTCCCCAATTCTGTAGAGAATTTTCTGCTGCACAGCACTGTATAATACAGCTCACAAAAAGCCAAGTGGTGCAGAAGCAGCTGAATTAATTCCAGCCTAGGAACATGCAAGATACTGCAACTTGCACATTGCTTTCCCATATTCTCGGCAATTCTTCATTGTTGTGATAGCTTATCACTGAGCCAGAGATCCCTGCAAATTCTCTTTAACAATACGACATCTGAGCCACTGCAAAACTGAGGTGGTCTAGAAAGATTGAGCAATATGGTATTCACTAATTGATACTTGAAGACTGAATTCTCTTTTCCAGCTTGTGCCACCATACTGTTTATTAGTAAAGCAAAACAACTTTAGCTCCAGCATTTAGCCCGTGCAACACTCTTTGTCTCCTATAACTGGCTAGTGCAAGGGAGTATCTAAACGTTGCTCTCTTGAAACAACCAGACACCCTGTATTTTCTGCCCTTACTGTATAGAGAACAGGAAAGCTGTTCCTCACTAAACATTTTGGAGACCAGAAGGAGATATCAGTGACCCAAATACCCTATATTAATCCATGAGGTATTAAAGGTTGATTTGGCTGTCCAAAGATCAAATGTTAATGCGGGGGGGGGAATGATTAAACACTGTCCAGGGTAAATTAAACATCAACAAATCTGAATCAATCAACTATAATTGCATTAGCCATACATATTTTGGCAGAGATTCCAAGATCCAGAAACCTGGGAAACCAAACAAGCATCAGTTAGGGTTAATTAATTAATTAATTAATGCTGTTTTCATTTCCTCTTCATTTAGCTTTTTGGACCCAGAAATTAGCCACTTTGATGATCGCTCTCCCCAGTTCAACCACCCCAACATCCTCTTTCCTATTTACCTGTCTGTACCAAAGTACCGGATCCACCTCAGCTTGCCGGCCACAGTCCAAACCTGCCTTTGATTCTGCAGTCTCTTTTCCAAGATGGCTTTCACTTAATTTTCCCTTGAGGCCTTCTATAGTTTGGCCTTGGAGTTTTGAGGAGTCCTCCAATTTTGGGATAATGACTGACTTGGTCACATCGGTGCCTTGATCCTTGGTCTTATTTAGTCCAGGTTTGACCAAGTCAGTTAAGCTGGGTGCTTTGGTCAGAGTGGGTGGGAGAGAAGTCTTCTGCTTCCACTCCTCCTTGAGTCCCACCTCTCTCTCCTTCAGCCCCAGGTCTACTTTTTTGTCCAGCCCACGCTGCTGCTGCTGCTCCAGGCTCTGGCGCTGCTTTTGCTGATCTTCATACTGCTGCCGATAGGTTGGGTTAGTGCTGAGCAAGTGGGCATGGTAGCCTTGCTCGCTGTAGCCATAGGGAGGCACATAGGCATATTGGTTGTAGTAGAGCGACTGCATGTACATATTGGACCTCTGCTGTATGACAGATGGCTGCTGGCTCGAGGGGCCCAGCTCTGCCTTCTTCTCCTCACAAGCCTCATTCTTCACCTTTACCTCTGGGCTTGGTGGCTCTTCATCTTTCTTCAACTTCAGGGCCTGACTATCTATGGAAGTTGGGTTGCTGGGATTAATGGGGCTGGGACTTGATTGTGCATAGCCTGGTGAATAGTAAGCCTCAAAACCTTGGTAATAAGGAGATTCCTTGTTTTGAGGCTGAGAGGGAAAGAGGGCTTTTTTGGCCCCTTCCTTGGCAATCTGATCAGGGTCCTTTACCTTCATGCTCTCCAGCTTCCCTTCACCATCCTCCCCTGCATCTGAGATGTCAGAGTAGGCTGGGCTATTCGTTTTCACAGAGCTAGCTTCAGCCCCATTTTGGGTGACCACATGAAGTGGAGTCATGGGCTGTGTGGGTGCTGTACTATCTAGCCGGCTGCCCCCCCCAATGGATGGGCTTGGGGCATTGTCAGTGAAACTGTAGATTTTATCTGCCTCGGCCTTGATGCTGGCAAGGCGACTCTGGTGGGTGTCAGAGGAACCGTTCAGAAGGCCCTCTCCCTTAGCCCCAAGATCACTGGGCTCACCCCGGAAGGGGCTCTTGCCTTCCTCAGCCCGACACCCTTTCCCAGGAGTCAAGGGACTCTCCACTTCCTTGGATTCTTTTTTCTTCTTGTCCTTCTTTTTCTTGTCCTTGACGGGGGTAAGCGTTGGGCTGACTGTGAAAGGCTCACCCATTACGGTTGGCTTAGGCTGAATAGGCTTTAACTGGGGGCTGTTAGGCATGGCCTGAACGACTGTAGTCGTGAGACCTGTGGAGGAGCCAGGGCTAGTAGCAGTGAATGTGGCTGCCTGGAAAGTATAGATCTGAGGTGGAATGGCTGGTGCTATAGGTCGGGCAGACTTGATGCTCTTTGAAGTTATCTTCTCGGGCTTGATGCTAACTAGCTTTTTAGTCTTTTCTTTGTCACTGGTCCTCTTCTCCACTGAGTCAAAGCCATCATTGCTTGTCTCATCAGGTACCAAAGGACCATCCTCAGAACCATCATTGGAAAGAGCACCAGAATCAGGATCTCCTTCAGCACCTAATTTCTTCTTGCAAGCAGCTTTGAGATTGAACTTGTTTGACGATGAGGGACTGTGTGGTTCTATCAGTCGCACTTTAGGAGTAGTTGAACGGGCTGGTGAAAGAGAGCCCTTCTGGCTAACAGAAGCACCATTGCAGCTGCTCAAATCAGCTGGAAGAGATGATTCCTCTCCATACTCACTATCCCCATCGGCCTCAGGCTTGCTGTCATCATCAGTGTGTGCATGGGCCTGATGATACTTGAGCCCATTAATGTGCTTGTATTTTTTGCTGCAGTTTGGATGGGGGCAGTCAATGAGTATAGGAGAGGGGCAGTTCCTATCCAAAATGGCAGGTTCTACTTTGATGGCTGTCGTGGCTACTGCTGCAGCTGCTGCCGCCGCCACAACTAAAGGTGTAGCCGTTGAGCCCATTGAGTTTGTGCGAACACGTTTGCTTCCCTTTGAGTCCTCAGAACTGGAATTCACTTCCATATCAGAGAGGGGCTTGCTTTTTCGCTTGGTCACTGATGAGGGACTGGCCTTGACCTCCTCAGAAGTGCCACTGGGTGGGAGGCGGTGCTCTGAGGAGTTCTGGCTGCCTCGGCGTCCCTTGCTGTTGGTCCCTGCCCGAGTCTTGCTACTATTGCTGGTCCCTTTGGTATCCGAGGCGGTTGTGCTTTCGGTCATTGGAGGGTTGCTGTTGGGACGCACACGCTTGCCTCTCCCTCGACCATTCCGCATCTCCAAGTCACTGGTAGGAGAGTCACAGAATCTAGGAGGTGGCAGAGCAGAACTTAAGAATAAACACTGAGTTTAGCCCTCAAGCCATTCCCTCTCTCTGCAACTGGCTCCCTTGGGAAAGTTTCCCCCATAGCTAGAATGCTAGCACCAAAGCACCAGGTTTTCTGTGCTTCTCTGCAAGACTCCAATACGTACTAACTGGGTGTCCCTGAAGTAAAATAGAAAGAGACAGCAAGAGATTTCTAAAGAAGTAAATGTGGGGCATGATTTTAGGGGTTCTTTTATAAAACCTGGGAATCCTGGTTGCTTATACTAGGCAAGCTCAAACCTGGGTTTTCCAGCTTTTAATACCTTATCTCTAGCATTCAAAGATAAAGAGAGGTTTCAGAATAAGCACAGCTCCCATCTGACACAAGTTGCACAATCCGTTATCTAATCTCTCCCCACTCCTTTTAGTAATTCAATAAAAAGTAACACAATAGTTCAACTGTCTCAGCTGAGACACAACACTGGTTGGTTTCCTAGGTAGAAGTTGCCTCATCAATTTCCTATGTGAAAATGAGAAAGCTGACTACCAGAGGCAAGTTTTCTTCAAAAACTGTAGTTGCCTGAGTCCTTATGTCACACTGATTAAAAAAAGAGGTGGATTATGACATATGCTGCAAGGGGAAGAAAATGCACAGTATGACAGTCTCTCAATGCTCCTTAAAATTAGAGTATCTTCTCTAGCAGACTCTACCCATGGCCTGCAGCTCATGAATGAGCATATAATATCAGCACACAGCAAGAGAGTCTTCATCTTGTATTTTACCTGGGTGGTGCCCAATCATGTTGTGTACAATCCAATAGTGTCCCCACGTAAGTCTTGTTCCTCCAGGTAACATTCACCACCAGCATGCCTATGAGGGGGAAGAAGGGGATTGTGAATACCCAGGTCTTTCGGGGCAGTAATATTTTCCCATCTTTTCCCACCATTCTCAACTACAATACAAAAATATCCTGCTAAACAAGTCAGAACAAGTGTGGGTGGTGACTAAAATTCTATGTAGTTCACTAAAATCTATTCTCTGTAGCTAAGTGAGCAGGAGAACTTAGACAGTATTTGCTTTGGGCTTTGTAACTACTTACTTCTTTGACATATGAAGATCTTCCCCACTCTAAAAGCTACTGATTGCAAAATCTACAGACAAGACTCATAATATTGTTGAGCTTTGCTAAACATAAGACCCTTTTGTAATAATGTCAAGAAAATGGCAAAGATATAGTCACTAGGAATCAATTTTGATTCAAAAGCATCTTTACCCATTATTTTTGATGAGGGTAACATAAAAAGAGTTGTGTTTGCTGAAGCCAAAGGCCAAGCTGGTCCAGCAATTTCTTTCACTGTGGTCAATCAAGTGCCTTTGGGAAGTTCACAGAACACAATAGCACCTTTCTACAATAAAGCAACTGGAAGTGAGGAACACTATCACCAATCCTTAAGATGTTATATGGTCACCATATCTACTAATTATAGTGGGTTTTGCAGATTGCTTGTCCTGTTACAGACTTAGATTACAATGATCACTTAGATATCTGCTGTATATTCTTCTCTGCAGTGACACCTGTCCTCTGCATTACTCCAGAGTTGTCTGACATGTCTTTTAGGCACCTGTTAAAGACTTGTCTTTTCACTTAGGCTATGTGGATGAAGATTGACTTTTTCCCCTTTCCTTCAATTCACTTTGTAATATCTTTTTTTAAAAAATAATTTTTATTGAAAATTTTGATTACAATAGTACAAGCAAATACAAACTAAACTCAGAGAGAAAAAGAAAGAATAAAAAGTGCAAGGAGAGAAAAAGAAAACAGAAAAAGGAGAAAGTAAGGAAAATATTTAAAGAAGTGACTTTTAATCTTAATCACAAGTATAAACAAACTTAATAACTCTTCACCCCCATAAGGTTACAAAAAATATCTCTTCTTCCCATAACCAATCCCTTATCCATATGCAATTCCATAAATCAGCAACTTTTCAGTCCTGGTGTCAGCAAAAAGTCTGTAAAAGGTTATCAGCGCTTTATAGAAACATGTCTTATTTTAATCTTGGTCAAACAAACCAACTTTGTATTCCTTCCTTTTACTTCTAACAATCCTGATTTTTAATTCATTCAGATGTTGTTGTAGGATTTGATCTCTCTTCAATTTTTCTTTTTCCCATCCCAAAGGCTTCTTCGAAGCTTTAGCAAACCTTTTTTGTAAATCCAAAAAGTCATTATCTAGGTCATTCTCTTGGTTTACCATTTGTATTTCCACTTTAATTTTCAAGGCTTTAACTAACTTCTTTTGTATATCCAGTAGAAAGTCATTCTTATCCAGGTCATTCTCTTGGCTTGTCATTTGTGTTTCCACTTTACTTGTCTTCTCTGTCTTATAATCCACACTTTTTTTATTTTCCAGTATTGCTGGTTCTAATATTTCTACATCAGACAATATTTCTTTCACCTCTTTATCCTGTAAATCTCTCAAAATATTCTTTCACATCTGTCATTCCTTCGTTTACATCTTTTGAACATAGTCTAGTCACAGAAGCAGACATTATAGCTACTAGTTTATGACCCCATTCTTCAAAAATCTCCTGGACAGTTCAAATGTTATAACATTTTGTGTCATTTTGTAAATTCTAGTACTAACCAAAAACAAAGGGCAAGCCTTCACTTTTTCCCCCTTTTCTGCCTGGAATCTTTAGTCCCCTCTAGTGTCCAGTCTTGAATTTCTGTTATGACTCAGGATAAACAAAAAAAATTAGTTCCCACGAAAAGCTGTTTATTTATATAATTATTTCCAAGACCTTATAGTAAAAGTCCTACTATTCCAAATTTATCTGGTCCCTTAATTAGTTTATAACTTTCTTGGATATGAGCCTTATTTAGCTTTTTGCCATTTATTTCCAATTCTTTAAATTTTTAAGTTTATAGTTAATTTTTCTTTTATTCAAGAATGAAGATAAACTCATCAGATGGCTTTTCAAACTTGTCATTTTGAAGATTTCTGTTAGCCTTAAAATAAATAGGTAATTTCTGAAAATGTTTAGAAAGAGAGATTAGTGAACCCAGTGTCCTTTAAAAGGCTCTGCTGCGGCTGAGAGCATGATGGCCTCCTTTGACTCCCAGTGCTCAAACCCGTAGAAAACCTCTGTTCTGCAGTCTCCTCATGAGAAGCTGCCATCCAGAGCACATGCAGGTAATCTCTCATCCTCGCCTCATCCAGAGAGGTTCTGTAGGGCCAGTCTACTTGCTGGTTCTTCAGTTTTTGCTGCAGTCGTTGTCTCTGCTCATTCAGATTCCTGCCAGTTCCTTCCCAGAAGTCCCTCACTTTGTAATTCTCAATGCCTTTTTATATTTATTTTTATTTTAGTATTGTATTTTATTATTTGCATCCTGCTTTAAGGTAATTACAGGGGAAACTGACCTAAAATGTACTAAATGAGTAAAGAATAATTGATGGCTTTATTTAACTTGAATGGTCTAATCCTGTGTTAAAGGTGTCAGGTTGACAGTCCTCACTGTCACACTATGTTTAAGAGCATTCCTAGAGTCTGAGAAAGAAAAAGGAGTTTTTCAAAACATGGCCAAAGAGGGCCAGAGAGACATTTCACCCATATCTCTTAAGCAATGTATCAGCCAATCTGTCCGGGAATGTGTGAGAAAGAGGATCAAACAGCTCACAGAAATCTCACCTTAATATACTAATAAATAAGGGCTGGTGTATACTTAACTACTTTCCAAGATTTTGTAACTTAACTCCCTTTCCTTGGCATGAAACCTGATTGAGACTCTAGTTCCCTTGGCTGTTCACTGCTATTAAAGGTATGACACAAAATAGCCATGTACTGTGTGAAAGACATTTTATCTGTCCTAAATTCCCCAACATTCAGTTGCACTGGCTAAGCACTTGCTCACTTTTTTTGCCATGCCCAAACTCTGTAACCTCTTTTCACTGCAGAGCTGGTTTCAGCCCCTCTGATCATTTTTGCTGCACACTTTCCAGATCTACAATACTCTTCTGGAGGTGCAGGAATCAGAGCTCTGCACAGTAATCCAAGTGTGTTGTAATACAGCTTTGAGTAAAGACATTATAATATGGACAGCTGGGCCTCACCAATGTGAAATCTGATTAGAAGTCATACACTTTCATTAAGCAGTCATTCACACCAGCTTAGTACCCAAAAGTGGATATATGCCAAATATATCAACTTTACATTGTTTTCACTGAAGTGCATTTGTTTGGATACATTCTTTTGGAACTCTTTATTGTTCCTTTTTTGTTTTAAGCACTGTAAATAAGTTGGTATTGTCAGCAAAACTTGATCACACAAAGTAGTAAACCAGAAGGGAGATGCAAATAATCCAATGTACAGTACAAATGACAATACAATCATATGTTCCAATTCAGAACAGAGAAATGAGTCCAAAATCCAAAACTCAAACAAGATAGGGTGCTATGTTTTCATGATAATGGTAACCATATACCTGTTTTCTCCATACAATCTTTTACATCCTTGTCTTAAAAAAGAGAACACATTTTGCTACTCCAATAAATTTGCTGGAGTTTCATTTATCCCCTTCCTCTAATTGTGCCTCTCTTCTCTCTCCCAGTTAAGGCTGGGGAAAGTGGTATCATGTATGACTCTGCTTTTCTTTATTCAGTTCCTAGCAACATCTCTTCTCTCTTCACAGTGAGTCAAACCAGTTTTTCAATGTAACATGATGATCAGTCCAGTTTACAGTAGACTACTTACATTTCTCTTGTGGTTTGCCATTCTGTGATAACTGCAGTTGGGGGTGTGCTTCTGCTGTAGTGGATCAGCAAAACCTGCCTTTATTGCTCACACACTACCTCCAAATCATTTTTGAACTGGTTAAAAACCACCAGTCCCAAGCCAGCATGGACTTTTTATATCCCTCCATTCTGAGAAGCAATTGTTGAATCCTAGTCTTCTTTTCCTACTATTTGACTAGCTACTGTTCATAAGAGGGCCTGAATATTATGCAGGCCTATTCAAGTTATGGTCTCTACAGTTAGGGTACTAATCAATGGGCTAATGGAAGAAATAATCTGACCTCCTTCCATAAACAGTGTCCTATGTTCTTTTGGTGCAAGTATACAAATAACAGTTACATGTATGACATTCATCTATCTTCTATATTGATCAAGAATCAGAACTAGTTTGGTCTCATAATGAAAGATGACAAGCATCCCCAGCCTCAAGTTTCCTGTTACTAAAAACTCCAAATAATCCTATTTTACATTTTACATAGGTGATACTGTATGTTAAGATCCATATATTGAAAACTAGTTTTCATGGGAGCAATTTTATATGAAATAAACACATCTATTTACTGCTATCAATCATGTACACTTAGAATTTGGATTTCTATGCTGAAGATTATGAACAGGGTCTTCATCAGAAAACAATTATACTCTATAATATCAGGCCACTAGCAGAATTTAATTCAAATAGATATTCCTTCCAACGATTACCTGTCCTGATTATTGTATCACAAAATCACAGCTGCACTTCTGCAGCTCCTAAGATGCATCTCATGCAACAAAGTGGGGAAGCAATGTGGCCAAATCTCTAACTCTTTGGGGAGACCAGGGACAGCTACTTAAAGTGGGAAGAATACAGAAACAATCTAGAATGGTAGGATCAGGAGCACATACTTCAGTCATAGCCTCTATTTTCCAGAAATCACACATTTCATGTTATTGAAAACGAGTATCTCTCTCAAGCCAAATTCTAGTCTGGACCACAGAATTCTCTTTCTTTGGACAAAGATCTTCCAAGATATAGAAAACTGATACTAGCATGTTCTGATATTAGCCAAGACAAGAGAATAGAAACAGAAAGGAAACC